AAACAGGTCTAAAAGAAATACGCAATTGTGGTGACCTCCAGAGATTCCCGTAACCCCGCCACTGTCCAAGCCGCGGACATTTACGTGCCAATTTGCGTGAAAACGCAAAATACATAGCCCGTTACGTAGCCCGTGTGGCCCAAAAAATCACCTACGATTTACAATTTTATGAAAATGCGTGCTAGTGTGAGGGCACACTCACACTCACACTACCACGTATTTTCGCAAAATCGCAAATTTTATGTAGTTTTTCGAACTTCTTCCGACTTTTTCGGGTCACAAGAGGCACGTATTTTGCGTGTTCACACAAAAGGGCACGTAAATGTCAGCAGCCTGGACAGCCGCGGGCTTACATATTTTGCGGGGACCTCCGAGGTCCTCCAGAGGTCCCTGCAAAATCGTATTTCTTTTTCCTCTACGGCTTTCTAACAGCAAAAAAAAAAAAAAAAAAAAGGTGCATTGTGCTGTCTGACTGCAGACAACGTATTTTTGCATCTCAAGGCCTTGAGAGGTCGCGACCCTGTCTTTTCTGCTTTGGGCAACAAACAGGTGACCAGTGTGACCCGCAGGTGCCATATAAACGCAAATTCACATACGGAAGATTTGCGGAAGTATGTGCTAGTGTGAGTATGCCCTGAGTACGCCCTTCAGCGGCCTGGGGAGCCACGCGTATACGTATTTTGCGGGCACCTTTGGGGTTGCCCACAGAATATATGTGGTTTCTCCGGTGATTTCTGTCCTCAATTAATTTTTTCTGCCTTGTGCCATGTACCTGCACAACGTATAAATCTGTATGTGGAGGGCTGGTCGCGCCCCTGTCTTTTTTGGTTTTGTGCTAGATACGGCGGGGGCTGTTTGACCAGGCGGTGCCCTCGAATCGCAAAATCACCAAAGCCAAAATTTGTGTTTTTTTTTTACGKGCTAGTGTGAGWAAGCCCARAGTTCCAMAAAAAAAAAAAAAAAAAACAAGCAAACAAACAACAACAACAACAAAAAAAAAAAAAAGGAAATAATTCTGAAGTACGTCGGGCTGGTCGGCTCTATGATGATGATATCTGAAGCCCTTGTACTTCAAAAAAAAAAAAAAACGAAACCGGTAGGAAACAGCAAGCACATAAGATACCCTTCTCAGCCGTTCCGCTAGCAAGCACATAAGATACTCTTCTCAGCCGTTCCGCTAAGTTAAAGATCAATCAACCCAAGAGCCTAGCTCATGGGTACACCCATGAACTGTTGAAATACAGACCTGTGTTCGAATCCAGATGATGGAACTTGGCGAATAAAACCGACTACTAATGAATTGCTTGGTCAATGATAATATCTCAAGGCCGTCACCCCTTTAAAAAAAAAAAAAAAAAAAAAAAAAGTTGAAGATCAAGCATCCTATCTGTTGATTCTGTTCTGATCAGTTCCATATCTGCCGGGTAGGAAACAAACAAACAAACAAACAAACAAACAAACAAAAAGCAAGCCAATAAGTCCACAGACAAATCATTTGTGGACAGGTCGACTTGACAGGTCGACTTGTCTGTGGTTATTTGCCTTAAAAAAACAAACGAAACTAAAGTGGTAGGAAACAGCAACCACACATAAGACACCCTTTGAAGTCTCAGCCTTTTGGTTAACTCCTTTTTTTTTTCTTTTTTTGGGGGGGGGGGGGGGGGGGGGGGGGTAACTTAAAGATCAAGCGTAGTTATCTGTTCTGATCAGATAAATATCTGATCCAAAACAAACGGAGAGGTCCACAGACTAATCATTTGTGGACAGCCTGGTTGTCTGTGGTTATTTGCTTTTTTTTTTTGGGGGGGGGACAGGGTGCAGGATGAGAGGAGGAAACAGAGGGAACAGAGGGAAAGGCAGGTTGATCTGCTGACCAATCTTACAGATCAGCTACGGTGATTACGGAAGCAATGATTGCCGCCAAGCATGGCCTCCATTGTTGGGGCCTTACAGTTGTGGGGGGGGTGAGGGGAGGAATTAACAGAAAAAGGCAGACACAGTAGGAAGTATAGGAGAAAGAACTCAACAGAAAAGAAGACCCCTGGGGCCTGGACCCACTAGCAAGGTATTCTACCACGCCATTCAGGATTTGGGATCACGTGTGGCATCGAGTGACTCAGTACGGGCGTCGAATAGATCGGATCTCGACGGCCTGGTAGTTTCCGAGTGGGGACTGTAAAGATGCCCACCTCCCGTCCAATGAGATGCGTCGAAAAAAAAAAAAAAACGAAGTTGGACTAACTTGGGGCGTCGTTCGACACTCCTAGGAGCGTCCTCGAGCTCCGAGGACGAATCCTTGGAGTGTTTATTTTATTTTTGGAGGCGTCATTCCACCTGTACTCGGAGAGTAGCCCTGAGGATGCATCCTTGGGGCCGTCCCGCGGCCAGTTTCATGAGATTATAGACGGCCGCGAGGGTGTTGTCCGACCTCCGATTCGGGATGTCCGTGTGCGAGGCGCGCTGGTCCACCAGCCGGACGGCGGCAATACGTCATGGGCCGTGGAAAATAAAATTGCGAACGCAGGAACGGCCCCGTTCGAAATTCGAAATTCGAATTTTCTCCGCGCGGAACGATGGTGTGGCGGCGCACAGGCGGAAGAGCACGTCGACTGGGGGACGAGTGCGCAGGCTTGACGTCGCGTTTCGTACTTCAGCGGCACCGCGCCGCCACCGTGTGTAGTGTGTTCGTCGCAGGCAAAACGAAGCGGCGTGTCTTCTCCTGCGCTCGCCACGTGCATGCGAGCGGCGCTTCCGTGGTTCAGGGACGGAGGACGAACGCTCCAATCACGGTGTAAGTTTTGTCATCACGCCTGTCTTCCACACCTCGTTGTAGGCGTCTTCGATCGTCGCCGTGGACGTTCATTCACGCAGGTGGGTGGCGGTGGACGTTGCTCTTCGTCGGGGATGTGCGCGAATGGAGGGATGCGATGGGGGTGGCCGTGCTGTGCTGTCGCAGACGGAGAGGACAGCTGTTGCGGCGGCTGCCGTTGCCGTAGTCCGTCGATACGAAGCGGAGAGGGCGGCGGGCCGCATGAAGGCAGCGCTTTCCAGGCGGCGACACAGGCTTCTGCTTCAAAGGGTGTTGGACGCCCCAGACTGCATCACGACTTCTGAGGCCGTGGTTCAGCTGTGCGCTGCAATCGGCTCCCGTGTGCTTCCCAGGGCGACGCCACGTTGGTGGATGAGGCGGAGAACTGGCGGGACTTGGGAGGATTTGCGGGTGTGCGATGACGCGACGGATGACTACTTCCGGGAAAAGCTCCGCATGTCGAGGAGAGTGTTCATGGAGATCACCGAAGCCTGTGCGCCTCATTTGCAACGACAGGTCACGTTTTACAGGGAGCCGCTTCAGCCGGATCAGATCGTCGCGTACGCGCTGTATAGGTGGGCAACAGGAGAGTCGTACAACAACAGCACATCATCGTTCGGCATTGGCAGAGCATCCGGAGTTCGAGCCGTGCGCGATGTGACAGCCGCGTTGTTGAGGGTCTACGGGGACAAGATATCGTGGCCGACGGGGGTGCGTAAACACGTGGTGCTACGGGCGTTTCAAGACAAGGGCTTTCCCAACTGCCATGACGCAGTTGACTGCACACACATCTACGTGGACAAACCGGCGAACACTCCGAGCGAGAACTACTTCGACCGCAAGCACCATTTCTCCGTCATTGCGCAGGTGGTGGTGGACCTGGATCTGCGTGTGCTTTATGTCTTCGTTGGCTACCCGGGCAGCTGCCACGACATTCGGGTGATCCAGCTGTCAAGTCTGTCGAAGCGCGCGGAAGAGGGAACGTTTTTTTGCGGGCCGCCTGTAACGCTGCTGGGAGGGGTGAGGACGAACGGATACATCTTGGGCGACAACGGGTATCCTCCTTCAGAATGGACAGTGGTGCCGTACGGAGGAATCAATCAGCACCCGGACGAGGAAAGGTTCGACAACAAACAGAAGGTCGCTAGAGGTGCTGTGGAGAGGGCATTCGGGAGGTTGAAGGGGATGTGGAGGCTCTTCCTGCGGTCGCACAAGACGAACTTGGACACTCTACCGCAGCAGTTCACGGCCGTCTGCATTCTCCACAACATCCTGCTCGATGCTGGAATCGAGTTCGACGAGAACTTGTTGTGGGAGGTCGACGAGAACGGGGTGAGGCGGCGAGTAGACCTGGGGATTCATCGTCCACTGCAGCCAGTGACGATGCTGACATCGACGGACGCCGCACACTCGCTCCACAATGCCCTAGCGGAGCGAATGAAACACATCTGATCGTGCGTGTCGCGCCACTCTGCCTTGCGCCACTCTGCCTCGCGTACACAGACAGAAGCCGTGTGCGTCCGTCGTTGAGTCGCAGCGCTTGCGTCATTCACGAATGCGCGGAGTTAGCTCGCAGGGTTTGCAGTGGCGGGCGGCTCGTTTGTAGGTGTTTGTTGTTGTAGTCAACGGTAGTGTGCTTCTCCACGTCGTGGGTGATTGGCAGTGAAGCGGCTCAATTGTCGCAGGTGATCGGCAGTGACGTCGCTGTTTTTTTTTTCGTTGTTCATTGATGTCGTCCTTGCCGCGGCGGTGTTCCCGCGCAAATCCGTGGGCATGGGGATGGGAAATGTGAGGGGGGGGGGGGGGGGGGGGGGGTGGGGGGGGGGTTGGGGGGGTCTGGGGTGTGGCCGAGACATCTCGGCCGTGGCCAGTCTGGGGTGTGGCCAAGACATCTCGGCCGTGGCCCAACCTTGGGGCTGTTTGGGGGGGGGGGGGTTTTTTTGGGGGGGGGGGGGGGGGGGGGGAAAGGGGTTTTCGGTGCTTGTTGGGTGGCGGTGTGGAGCAGGTCGACACCCTTCTGTTTCGCATGTGCTTTCGATCGCTGTTTTGCTTCAAATTATAAGATATTTGTATTCTTTTATTTATTTGTGTGAGGTCGCCGTCGTGCGTCAGGGTGCTGTCCGTCTTTTGATGACACATGTTTTCTGTCCACCACATGTAGCGTCTATGATGCATGTTGTCTGCAGTACTCGGCGTTCGGTTGATGCTGTTGGTGAAGCTTCGATGTTGAACTGATGACGACCACGTGTATGGAATGAAATGTAATCAACAAACACTTTTCTCGTGATGGGTTCATATTTTGGTAAATGGTTGAGAACCCTCTTGTAATTTTTTCGATGGGGGTTCGTGCATTGTTTGTTTTCGTTTGTTTTTTTTTTCTTCCCCTTTATCTGTGCTGTTCAACATGAACAGAAGTTGTGGACGACATGGCGATGAGCAATAACAAGAGCATGAGAATAGAAGTTGTGGACGCGATTCAGACGATCATTAACGATTATCGTGCATGATAAACCCGCATACGACAGAAGAAAAGCAGCAGTGGATGAGCAATAAGAAGCATACAGTCACACGATGTTGACACAGAAACATAAATGATTGCATAAAATCCGTTGAAGTACATAAAAAGTTGTGGCAGCGACCGACTTTTCTCCTACCTATCCACACTCCCTCCCCACTATCCACCCTCCAACCGCGAACCACGAAGGACGAACTAATCCTGCCGTTTGCGCAGTGCTGCCACGTGTCACCCCCATGATTAACAAACCCTTTTGTGGAGCACGACCAGAAAGTGTGCTCCAATTCCTAAAAGACTACAAGAAAAAAAAAAAAAAAAAACACAGGAGCCGC